TTATTATTATTATTATTATTAACTTGCATTGCGGATCTCCTAGGTCTTGCCGTCGTGAATATTTCATTATTCATTAGGCCGCAAGAGGTCGCTCAAACCCAATGATCTGGCCATATCAGGCTGTTTCTCAAATCCACATTGGCACTAAATCAGTATTATCTAGTGTTATTTTCAAGCAAACAAGGGTAGGAGTTTAGCTAATATTGAAACCAGCCACACGACTATTACATAAATCAGGAAATAATGGTCACTTTTATAAAATGTGTACGTTCATAAACGTAATATTAACTCACAAAAACAAACACACACTGGGGCTATTTGCAAAGAACTGAAATCAGCATACTAACCTGGAGTTAAAAACCACCCTGCTCAGTCCTTATTCTGTACATGTACGGTTTATACCTTGTTTTTTAAAGCCTTAATTAAAAACAATAAAAAAAACACGAACATCCTTAATTGACATTAAACGAAGTAAAATATTGTAAACATACATTATAAGAAAGTCAGAGGTACTTAACTAATTTACAGAAACAGCTTAACATAACTTAACATGTCAGTGGTTCAGTGATTTTTAATAGTTTTAACGTAAAATTCCATTTCTATTTTAAATAGGTTAATTGTTGGAGTGGACGTTGTCAAATTTCATTTTATGGAGATGGTATCTCCGCATAATTAGTAATAAATTTATTATAAATATAAACTTTTGGTACATATCCGGGCAAGTAAAATAAAGTAAGGTGTCAAACCCATTAAACCGGCTTATATCATCTTGCATGGGATCGTGTTCTTGGTTTGCGTAACTCTGTCAAAAGACATTTAGGTGGCCTTCGCGCAGTCTAATAGTAAACAGCTTGTTATTTATCTACAGTATTATTCGCAGGTTTTTAATGGTACCAGGTGAGCTAAGAGTTAGTTAGAAGCCAATACTTGTTTTGTTAACATCCACATACCCCATTATCAGAGTCCATACGGGTGATTTACAGTCAGGCGTTATCTACGGAAACCATAATGAACCTTGCTTGCCATCTAGGACCCAGAGACACCCACAACTAGGGAACTGGACTTCATTCTGGGAGATTAGTTGTGCAGCAGTGTGTTTAGTGTGCATTTGGACTTCGCTGATTTTAAACTACCTTTTACTTTGGAAGACAGTTCGACTTCTTTATTTGAAACGCTTCTGTACACACAATGGAAAAAGCCGTGAGCTTATCAAAGTCAACAACAGCTGGAACTACAACAGGTAAGATATGCAGCACACATGTCTGTGTTATACAATCCGTTTGCTGTGCTTCACTGATGTAACATCACAGCAGTATCGAGAAGTGATCTGAAAAACGCTGTATACATGTGGATAATTAATTTATAATGTGCATTTGTTCTGCAGGAGGTTGTTTTGTTCATTTTAGTTATACGTCTGGCTGAAGTTTAGAAAATTAAAAGCTTAACATAAACCAAATGTAAATTTCTAAACGTATTTCATAAAGATGGACTGTAACTATTATTTTTGTAAGTTATATAAATACATTTCCTTAAAATACGCCCATAGTTTTGACAAATTAAGGTGTAATATCTCTTGCCTATGTCAAGTGTTGTATAATCATTACAGTCACAGCCTCTCCTACCAGAAAGCCTACATGTATAAAGCTTTCATTACACAAGAACTCACAGCCTCCATTTACGTCTAATCGTACCTTTCCAGACGAGGGTAAGGGAAGGAGAGAAGACAGTTGCCTCGCGTGTCCTGTGGAGCAATAAACAAAATGTAATCAGGATATTATTATTATATTACACCTTATTTGTTTAGGTTTAAAACAGATATATAAAACCCGATTTTGAAATAATTTTCATAATCGAGACAATAATCGAGTTAATTTACTAAATTGAGTCTGGAGCTTCAAAGAGGAGATTAATGTTATCGCTTATTTAACGATCCACACCCAATTTGATCTTTATATCGTCTTTTATTTAAAAAAGTAAGTTAAAAAAAGTGTTGCAGCAGTAGCACATTTTTCTTAAAACCTTAAATATCAGAACATCATCTGGCACTTTACTGTGCTGCATTATGCCAGCTCTCACTTCCTTTTTCCTTCTGTTATGTTTTTGGTTCGGAAGAGCTAATGTAGTATTACAGGCGCCACTTGTGGGCGCAGGGGTAGTTCGCCAGTTGGGCACTGGGAGCCCAGGGGTGAGGGGGTGTCGACTATCCAGTGCTGACTGTGCTGCCCTGTTGTCTGCTCTGCAGTGGTCCTTGTGGAGAGCAACAGCAATCCTACAGGCCTACAGCTGGTCAGCTCCTACCACACCAACCGCGTGGGGGACCCCATGGACCTCGTAGCTCTGGCCCAGCAGGTGCAGAAGGTGGGTGAGCCATTAGAGCCATGACAGCCAGCTCTTCTCTTCTGCCTTCTGAAGCCTGAGGCATAAGCGCCCATTCATTTACTGTAGGCTTCCTCTTTCAGCTTGTAGGGTCCTGCAGGGGAAGAAGCAGGAGAAATGCAACGCTGTTTTTATATTTTGGGGTTAGAAAGAATCAGGATTGATGAGAGCATTTTAGATCACAAAGAAAGTAAAATCTACACAGCAACTTGTAAAACCTCCAATTTACATCACAAAGTAGATTAAATTTCCAGATAGGCGCAGCGCCATGTTCTACAATTCAAGTAACAAAACCTCCGGTGACATGATGCAGCCCTGTGACATTGTAAGCTAGCAGGCTAGTGAATACATCTCTATTAATCCAATAGAACTATTGCTCTCGATTTAGAGACGGTTTTGCAGACAAATGCCAGCAGCCATATTACCCTGCAACTCACAGCTGGCAGCCCACTGAAGCTCAGCAGGTGTGAGCCTGGTCAGTACCTGGATGGGAGACCTCCTGGGAAAAACTAAGGTCGCTGCTGGAAGAGGTGTTAATGGGGCCAGCAGGGGGCGCTCACCCTGTGGTCTATGTGGGTCCAAATGCCCCAGTATAGTGACGGGGACGCTATACTGTAAAAAGGTGTGGTCCTTTGGATGAGACATAAAACCAAGGTCCTGACTCTCTGTGGTCATTAAAAATCCCCAGGGCGATTTCTCGAAAAGAGTTGGGGTGTAACCCCGGCATCCTGGCCTTTAGCAATCGTGGCCTCCTAATAATCCCCATCTTGAATTGGCTCTGTTCTCCTCCCCACTTAAGGCTGATGCGTGGTGAGTGTTCTGGCACACTCTGGCTGCATCATCCATGTGGGTCTGGTGGTAGTGGAGGGGAGTCCCCATTACCTGTAAAGTGCATTAAGTCGAGTGTCCACAAGAGCGCTATATAAGTGTAAGCAAATATTATTATTATTATTATTATTATTATTATTATTATTATTATTATTAAATACTACAATCTTGTTAACTCTGCCTGCAGATCAGGTTGGAACATTTCTGTGGTGAAATGTCTGCTGTACAACCTGTACTTACTCACTCATACATCACATTACATTAGTCATCACAGTGACTAGTGAGCAGGAAGGGCAGCATCAGGTCGCAATTCTCACAAACTCTCGCTCTCGCCATTGGCAAGACCAGGGCTTTGCAACAACAATGCCAACTGTACAGTACTTTCACAAAGTTCACAGTTTTGTGCTTAATTCAAATGTTTTAATTTTTTCTACAACTTAGAGTTTCATCAGTGCTGCTGCCATGTTTGTCTACCACTGTTTCACGTATCAACCCAAACAGGTTGTGGGAGGTTAACAACAGTATCCTTTTAGATTAGTGCTCCATCAGAAGGGATGATGGGAGGTGGTGGATACAGGGCCTGGATGCGTCTTAAGTGTTAAATATGGAGACAATAAGAAACATTTAACATTTAACGAGCTGTCTCATGCAGTTGACCCTAGGGAATGAACTTGGCGTTATTAATGTATCACATGAACAACTTTACATTATCTCGGAGATAAAATGTTAGGGTAATATCAGGGAAGGGCTGTACTCGATCCTTCCTGTTCGTAAGAATGTATAAAAAAAGGTTACATTTGAGACCCAGAGTTCATTCAGTAATCAAGCCCAACCAAATATATTTTGTTAATTTAATATCCCTGCATCCCTCACCATACGTAGTTAGAAAATGGATAGATGGAAGTATCCTCAGCTCCAGTAATGTTGATGACCAGTGGGCATGTGAACCAGTTTGGGTACATTTTGTTCTTAACTATGAATGTGGATTTTGAATAATCTAGTGTTCTGAGTGTTTAAATTCATATACTGCATATTTTTTTATAACAGGTTTAAAAATATTATGAGGACCCTAGATCTCAGTTTGAAAAATGAAGCATGTGAACTCTACACATCGAAGTGTGCAAACTTTAAGTTATGTAGTTTAAATGGAGAACCAGTGCCAATTGAAAACCTTTTTTTTCTCCGACAGGCTGATGAGTTTGTTCGAGCTAATGCATGCAACAAGCTGACTGTCATAGCAGAGCAAATCAGACACCTGCAGGAACAAGCAAGAAAGGTATGACATAAGGAGATTTCTGAGTAAACATTCATAATTAAAGAGAGAATTCTGACAAGAAGTATACAGAAAAGCCTTAAATGGCTTTGTGTTGATGTCCATACTAACTTACAATTTACATCTTAGATCAGAGCCAGAGGTCTCAAGCCTTGGTCTTAGGACCTTGTTCTAGTTAGACTTATAATATACCTCTTTCTAAACATTGGCAACACCTGTCAGATATTAATAAATTAAGTGAGTGATCCTTTCAGTTTAGACAATGCTGATCCTTGAGTGCTAAAGAGCACTCAGATTGTATACCAAAGTGATCTCCAAATACTTAATTTAATGTCCCCTGCTTAACTGATGACGATGAAATCCAATCTACTAGATCCATGACGGCACCCTATGAAACATTACAAATATGTACTAAAAGAAAACTGGAAGAGAGTGACATGGAGATCAGCTCCTGGGGCCCTTGACCAAGCTAGGTGGAGGAAGAATATTCTTGAAGAAGCCCAGCACTTTGAGACCATAAAAAAGACCCACCAGGGAGTGTGTGGAAAAATTAATAAATTCCATGGAAATTTCCATAAATTCATGGAAGTCGATCGTCTTTCCAGAGGGGGATAGCCAGTGAATGATAAAACCTGCTGGACTGGGGCTCTCCAGGTCTGGAGACTCCTGTCCTGGGTGATTTTTAGTCACTCAAATAATGGGGAGAAGAAAGATGTAATAAGGAGGCTTCTGAGTTACAAATAGATTAAAGCATCATCATTTATTTTGGTATTTGGTATAAGTTTTCTCAGGTTCCAGCCTTAATTAAACCAGGTAAAACTGAACTTTCCATTTTGGGTTAGCATTTAAGAATTGGGTTAGCTTGTAACTCAGGCTGGGCCAGTTCAGAAGGAAACGGAAATTGTATCTGGTTATGTATGTGTCAGGTTTAAACCACTGGTACATTACTTTTGTATTGCTCTTAATCATAGCAGTGGTTGAAAGCAGGAGTAGGCCATTCAACTCCAAACTGCTTTTCTTGCAGCCCCCTATCAGCTGAAAATTTACATCAAGCAGGACAAACCAGAACAAATTTCAGGTCCCTTTCGATATGTCGCAGTTTCCGCTGGGAAAGAGATGCCAGTTAGACGAGTTGAATTGCTCTTCACTTTGGCAGTTCTCCAAAGGCCTAGTCCTTTGTGAAACTCCCCCTTTGTGTCTTCTTCAGGTTCTGGAGGACGCGAAGAAGGACGCTGACCTGCACCACGCCGCCTGCAATGTTGTCAAGAAGCCGGGGAATATGTATTACCTGTACATGCGCGAGTCTGGCCAGCGCTATTTCTCCATCCTCTCCCCGCAGGTAACTAGAGATTTGAGACAGGAGCTAAGAACAAAACGCTAGATTGCAAGGAAAAGAGATTCCTCACAAAACACTGATTGGAAGTCTCAGCTGTGTTTATGACACTAGATATTGGGAGTTAAACAATGTGACTTGAAGACACAATCTCGGACATCTAGGTCCTAAGCTTCGTTACTGTATGTATATTATTCAAAACAATTTGACTTGATGCAGCTCGCAACACTTAATCACAAAATTATACTACTTAAATTCACACTTTGAATTACACAAGTGAGTATGAATTCTGACCCATCCTTTGTCTAACTGTGTCATACAATTCAGAGTCGCAGGGGGCCAGGAGCGTGTCCTGACAAGATTGGGGGGTGCACCTGGTACGGGACACCAGTGTGAATCCTGAATCTTACCGTACAAATTGGACACACAGACTGACTAAAAAGAACCATTTTAAGAAGTTAAAAAATTGTTATAATTAACCCATGTAACCATGTGTCCTTATGTGACCCTGGAACTCCTGTCTCTTTAGCGCCATAGGCTTGAGTTAACCCCCTTCTTCCCATTAGTAGCGGCTTAACAATGTGAATTGACAATGAAAATTGTTGGACAGAATGAAGTATATACAAAGCAATAGTCACGCAAGCTGATGGAATCATACCAGATGGTGTGGTGTACTGTAAGAATGCTTGGTGTGTTTGGGACTGTGGAGATTAAATTAATTTCCCTTTCTTTCTGCAGGACTGGGGACCCAGCTGCCCACACAAGTTCCTTGGCGGCTACAAGCTGCAGTACGACATGTCCTGGACTCCAGCTGAGGAGATGGACAGGCGGGACTCCGAGATCAACATCATTGACAAGCTGCTGACCCAGCAGACTGCCCTGCCTTCCTGCGCAGAGCCCAACTTCCAGGGCCTGTCTTCCTAAACCAGGGCTTGGCAAAGACTTTCGTGGTGACTGAGACTTTGTTGGATTCATGGGTTTTACTTTGGGGTTTGTGTGGCATTTGAGAGATATGGGTGCAGTGGGAGATGTTTTTTTGTGTGGTTTTCATGAATGCAAGTAAGGGCAATATTCATCCCCTTTTCTCCAATGTCCTCCTTGATCGGATCATGTCTATCCAGTCAGATTCTGCCGCTAACTACTGATCTTGAGACCTGGAGCAAGTATCTAGTCTTTACTATCGGCACCTGCAGAGAGGATACAGATAACTTTTTGTTTCTAGTTTTAAGTGACATTCACCAATTTTTAATATAGATAATATAAATGGTCGGATGTCGTTTGGTGTATTGTTTTTAAATCTATCAGTGCCATTTTATTTGTAGGTTTAGAATAAGGGCAAGTTGAAATGTCTGCCCACTTTCCTGGGTGACTCCAGTGGGTGAATGGTGATGGTCTCTGGGGATGAAAATGTCTGTGGGCCTTTGAGAGACCCATCATCAGACAACTGTGTCCCTCTCTGCTGTCTTGAGAGGGCAGCTGTATGGCTATTCAGTGGAAGTGTCCATTTCCTTCACAGCTTAATCTGTTGCCATTTTCCTCCTCCTGTTTCTCAGTTTAGAAGTTCAGTATTTCCCTCTTCAAGGAGGGAGCCTGTATGGAGCTGCTGTTCTCCACAGCCATGTCTTCACTGGCTGGGTCACAGCACACATCTTCACAGTTTACAGCAGCTGCATGCAAGATGACTGCGTGTAAATACATTTGTGTTTTCAATTACATTTCTAACTTCAAATTGTCTATCTCCAAATTGTATTATTGGAAACGGTACTTTTATTGAAGCGAATATTATGAGTTATTGAATGTAAAAGGTCATAAGAAACATCCTGTATGTGTCTAAGAAAGTAATTAAGTTAATTGGTCACATTTATGAATACATCAGAGATATAAAAGAGGCAAAGGGCACAGTATACCAAAATACCATTCCATAACAGTGTGGTCTAAATATAAAACAGGCTGTTCAGACTTTGTAAAAACTGCTTTACAATAATGAGGTATATTAACTTTCCCTCTAGGAGAGAAGATGAAGATCCATATGACCTCTTACTGTATGCAGGACTGCTTTGTGTAATGAGAAATACATAATGGAGAACTTTCAAAGCCACTTCTGATTCAGATTTTTAAACTACTGTAAAGTTTATTCTGCTTACATGTACATAATATTTCTAATATTAGATTTTTACATTTAAAAGAATTAACAGAATTGATTAAGCTAGCTATGGCTATTATCAACACCAAATACAAACACTAAAAACATGGACATGAAGTATGTTTATTTTTACTGGGTTAGATAAATATTTTTTTGTGCATTACTGTGCATTAAACACTGTTAACACAGTGTGACCTTGACCTTTTTATTTCTTCTTTTACTTGGTTACTGAACTGCGGGGCTCTTGTACCGTGTTTACACAGTGGATGTCACACCTATTTTAAAAAGAGATCAGATTAGGAGAGGAGTTTCCACCCCTGGTATTGAAGAGCCGCCGTACTCCAAGATTTATACATTTTTCTGTAAAGCAGATCATTAGTTAAACCAACGCCCGAGTACCTTTCATTCCTCAATGGGCACAGTTTGCTAACGTGAACAAAACATAATCTGTATCTTCAGAAACAGGTGACCTGAACTGGACCCAGGAAACACACACTCAGTCTAACTTAACTAACAGACTCTATTCCATTAATTCTTAATCAATTAATCAATCAATCAATCATTAATTCTGCTTTAAGTCACTGGGCAAAATTTACATTCTTAACGATTCTGAACCCTGCATTTACATCGTTCTTATGGGGAACAATTTCCTTTTATACATCATTTAGCTGTATGTCGTGACTTTCTGATACTTAACCCTGAGGTGCATCAGAGACCACTTGTATACAACACTACAGTATTGTAATCATTCACTGTGGTAAAACTGTTAAACTATTAAGAGAGATTATAGAGGTAAACTCATAAGGAAAATAGCAAAATTCCATAACTATTCAGGAAGAGTTATGTTTCAAAATAACTTTAATTTTATGATATTTCCACTGACAGTCTTCAGGCTTTTCTAGGACAATTCTAGACTTCAGTCTTGGAGGTATTGCTCAGGATTCTGAACAAATACTTAATTTCAAATAATACTGTATGTCTAGTCATATCATGAATGCACAAATGCCTTATGTAAAAAATATATAGCTGATGTGACATCCTGAAATTTGTGCAAAGTGACTTCCTAGTTGCTTGACCACTAAAGGTTCACTTAGAGGGTCCAGGTGGCATCAGTTTAAGCCTGCGTTGCCACACCAGCTGAGCAGCAGCCTGTAAGTGTTTGAGGATCCAGGGTTGGAAAGCCTTTAGTAAGCCATGGTCCCACCAGATTGGCGACTCTGTGGACCTGCTAGGCTCCTGTGACATTGCTGTTACATCAGCAAGAGCCTTGACATGACTTCTGTAAGGCACTATGAAGCTTGCAGTATATCAGACTGTCAGGTGTGGACAAGTCACAGGATCAGTTGTTTCCAAACAATTTAAATGAGTCCCTGACCCTGATCATCCCAGGCTGGATTTGTAATGCTTTTAAGGTAAGAGTTAATGAAGGGCAACAGCTTCCAATTGTCCATGGCAACATCAACACGAGCCGCATCCTCTGCGTTCCTGATCTTCAACAAGACATGAAACTGTGGAGGGAGGAAAAGCAAGGCCTTCTGCAACTCCTGGTCGGCCTGCTTAGAGATTAAGAAGCGGTGAAAGTGGGAGTCGATGATATCTCTTAGAGACCTCTCCCCAATTTCAAAGCAGAACAGGCTAATGGCAGACTGTCGAGACTCATCAGCACACAAGGACTTCCACAGGTTCTCAAAGAGCTGCTCTCTGGTTTCCAGCGGCCAGTCCGCTGGCACAGGCAAGGGTTGGAAAATATCTGGGAAAGCAACAGGAACGTCCGCCAAATCAGTGTGCCAAGAAAGCCCATCCTCCGTGGTGAATATGGCACAGGCACGCAGTGAGGTAGGGTACGGCTGCCGTGGCTTAAGTTTAAGGAAGACCACAGGCGGCTTTCTGTTTATGAACAAACAAGGCACACTGATGTCACTCATTTCTTCATAATTAGAGTCAGTGAGATCAAAATGCAAGCATATGGAGAAAAGCTTGTGAAAGAGAGAATCTACCTCCCCTGCAAAGGTTAAATGGTATTTCAGAACTACCTCAGAGGCAAAGCCAGGGCTGAGGAACTGGTCGTGATAGTTTTTTAGGAAGTCTTCACCTTTGCTGATCTCTGGTCTGCCATTACACAGTGTGCCCAGCATGCCATCATCTCGTAGTCTGACAAGTTGCAGCACTGGTTGTTTGGTTGGCTGAATGGTCAAGCAGCTGGACTGCTCCTCACTCTCAGCCATGATGGATGACAGAGATCTGACCTTGGCTTGGCCCACTTCGGGCCCCATCGCCAGAACCCCAGAGAGCTTTTCTCGTGACAAATTGGTCAGCAGGGTGTAGTAGAAGCGGGCGTGATCTCGGATGTCTGTGTCCTCGTAGCGGTGCATCATGAACTGCAAGAGATCCGCCAGGTCAACGAACACCTGATCCAAGCTGGGATGCTGGAGCAAGTTGCGACAGATGGCAAGAATGGCATTGCCCATACGCCAGTCTCCAGACCCACACAGGTCAGAGCTGATAAGGAGGTTAAAGAGGAAGTGCACAGTGCTCCTCTGGGAAACCTGAGTCTCCTTTGCTACCCTACCCAGGATTTTGAGGTGCCAACACAGACTCTGAAGACTAACCTGGGACACAGGCAGCTCCACGATTTGATTTTGCAAGGCATTCAGCAGTTTGATCACCCATCCAGGGTCTTCCAAATGCTTTTGGATTTGATCGGTTAGGTTAATCAGATTTGGTGCCAAGTTGCAGTGCCTGGAATAGAGTTCACAGAGGCTCTTTGTCATCTCATTAGCAAGTTTCTCATTGTGGTAGAAATAACTTAGGAAAAGGAAAACCGCTTTAAAAAAAGTGGTTGTCATCTCTCGGGTGCCATGGTTATCTACAATTTTACGAAGCGCCATCAGATGATCGTAAAGGTAGCCAACTCCTTCCTCATTATCGGCCTCCAGGTAGACAAGGCAGAGGAGGTTCATTCTGCAGAGCATGGTACTGCTGTCATTGAAAACAGTAGGCAAGAGCGAGATGGCCAAGCGTGGGGTGACCAGCACTGGCAGGCTCTCCTCTCCGTTTAAGGACATGGGACGATTCTCAGGGAAGTGGAGGATGCAATCCATATAGAAAAGCTTCTGCGAGGTGTTCAAGAGTGGGTGTTGAGCCATGCCCAGTAAGCGCTTGAGAAGGAAGTTCTCATCCTCGGTTGTGAACAGGCTGTCTGTGAAGGCTCCCTTCATCAGGAGGGTGGAGTGCAGCAAGCTGATGTCCATCGTCCCAAAGAGACGCAGAAGCTGGGACTTGAAGATGGCAGGGGAGAGGGCCTGAACCATAGCAACCACCTGAATCAGCTCCCGAAGCAAGGCGGATTGGGAAACCGGGTTGTGCAGGTAGGACTCCTCCAAAAGCAAGGAGACGACCGACTTCAGCTCCTTGGTTTCTGTGCTGGTCTGAAGCATGGGGATCTGCTCCATGGTGCTCACGCGAAAGGGCGGCAGGGTCTTCTCAGTGGCCTGCCAGTCAAAGTCTTCGTTGCCCGCCAAAAGAGACTTCAAATCACCATCTCCTGCTCCTGTCTGCTGAGAAAGGAGGTGTACAGCATTCTTTAGCACCAAGGTATACAAGAGAGAGTACGCCTGATGCAGAGTTGTTGTCTCCTGCTGCTTTAGAAAGTAAAGAGCTTCCAGCTTCTGAGATAGCAGTCCAGGGAAGCAGGTCTCCATCTCTCTGAGGCAGTCACATGCCATGGCCCTGAGCAGCCGAAAAGCACTACCATCCTTGTGATCATTAGTGTCCTGAATCGTCAGAACTAACAGGTCCAGAAAGCTTCCCGCCACTTTCACGTCCCTCTTCACACAGGACGTGCATATTAGCACACTGGTGATGGCCAGCATCAGGTGACACCTGAGATTCAGCGACTTGGGCGGCGCATGTGCAAACAGAGCCATCAACGCCTCTGCTGTTTCCTCCCCCACTGAGGCGGATGGACAGAGGACAAGAGGGTACTCCTGGAGAGGGGACAACAGGAGGACCTGAAACACCAAGGTGAGACAAGGCTGGTTATACTGCAGCAGCAGATAATGTGGAACATTCCTGATATTGACAGAGTGGCCCAGACCTCCCAGGTGGACTCCCTGGTAAAACAAGACCGACTCAGGTTCAGCTTGGGGAGCTCTTCCCTCTCTGGACACATGATGTTCCCCCGTGTGTCTCTTTACACCCTATATAGAATACTGATTCAGGTGTAAAGAGACACATGGGGGGGCATCTTGTGTCACTCCTCTTTTCCAGTTCTTTTCAACTGGTGGGTTTCCTGGCTCTTCCTTTCCCATGTCCTCCTGGTACTTTACTCTTAACTGCATAAACTTTTCCCTTGGCTACAGTAAGAAGGGAACATGGTGGTCACAAAGAACCTCCTTCTCTGAGCCCAAACACCAGCCATGAACTGACACTGTTCAAGCAGTATTTTTTTCTTGGGACCCATCCCTGAACTTTAGCAGGTGTGTGCTGTGACTATATCTAGTGTGTGCCACATCGGCAGACAATCTGGATGAATGTTTCATTCCACATCATTAAAGATCAAAGAGCATTCCAATAAATGATTTTTTGAATTGATCCTTGACTGATTAATTTAAATAAATTATCCAGTTTCAGGCTCATTGCACTCGTACAAATGTCAAATAAACTGAACATTTTTATTCTATAATATAACATTTAGCTCAACTCAACAGTCTTTTTTACTTCATAGTTTCACACTTCCTATTGCTTTAGTGCTTTAGGACAGAGGCTCTGAACCCTGGTTCTGAGGACCCATATGCCCGTTGTAGGCTGAGCTGCAGTAAACCCTGTACTGAAAAATCGATATTCCGCGTCCGTTATTAAAGCATCACAGAGCATAACCAATGTATCACCTCCGTTTCAGTATAATAAGAAATTATTTGCTGCCATATGGTTCCATGATGTCAAAACATAAACATACAGTATGACATAATGGACTTCTTTCGTCTAAATAAAATATACTACGAAAACCAATAGCACAAAGCTATTTCTAATCAAAATGTTTGGAATAACAGCGATTAGCCATGTATTTGAAATACAGTTAAGCAAAACAATCCTTTGGTCACTGAAGAAAACTAAAAAATGTGTTTATCGTTACCACTTAAAATTTCCGAAAACAGCAAATTAGTTTTTAAGTTCTAAAATGTTGCAATTGCTTATGAACTAGTATAATAATTAGACTATAATTAGTAGAGTCCCTGCATTAAAAAAAAAATACAATTGACTAACTTACGTCCTGGTTTGCATTGCACAGAGACTGCAATTAAGAAACAGTTATTTCGTTAACGAGGCAGCCGTGGGCCATATTTACGACCCAAGCAGGAAGCCCTCCTCCCACCGCGAGCCCCCCGCGCACCTTGGTGGCTTCGCTGGTCCGGTCGTCCCGCAGGTCCCGCAGCAGCTCGCCCAGGAACGCCTCGGGGCTCGTGCCGGAGAGGAACCGGCTCGGGCTGCCGGAAAAGGCTGCGACCCGCGGGGCCCACGAGATCGGGCCGGGGGCTGCCATGACGACGCTCTGCTAGCCTGCAGGCTGAACCCCCTCTCCGGGTCACCCTCACCGAGTAGACCCTACTCGAAAAACTGCGCCCACGACCTAGAAGGAAACAAGCTGCGATATATTAATGTGTAGAGATAGGTACCCTTCGACAGCTCTCCGATCCACAGAACCCACAGGCAGCTGTTTTTTTTTTTAATTTATAAAAGCTCTAAATATTGGCTACTGTGTCTTAAGCATCTCTGCGTTGAACAAAAAGTAACCTTTTTTTTTTAATTGGCAGCAGGTTCATTCATGAGCTAAGGGCATTGATCCAGTGAGTTTTAAAACGCGTTATAAACTAGTACAGACACCTCAGTATATACATTCTAAAAACACAAATTCACATTTTCGTACAGTTTCACTTACGCTCTTAAATAATAAGGGAAAAAATAATGCAGTTATATGCTCATTTTGGAATTCTCTTCCCTCGCCATTCACTGTATTCTCCAGTTCCTGTTTTCAGTATCATGTGACTACGCTGCTGTGTCATATGACAAACTTGTTCTCACACAAACGGACTCTCTCGTCCTCTAGAGGGAGACTAACGCAGCACAATCTGTTTAGAAATGCAAAGGGTCTATTTTTCCGGATCCTATTGCACATCTCCTAGGAATTGTTTCACTACTCTGTTTTCCTGGAAAACCTTAAGGTGTCAAAAGCACACCGAAACATGCAATACTACTTAACGTATGTGGTATATGCATCAGGATGATTGGATATTTTCTTTAGATTACATTGAAGCCCTGGCTGATTACAGTACATTGAGAAGACTTAATAATCTACTCCAAAGTTCTGTGTTGCTTTTTTACTCATCTATGCTTTGTGTTTTATAGAAAGACCTTAAGTGATGCTACCAATCACATAATTAAAATTGTACCATCCGTCCATTTGCAAATTGATTTTTGTCCAGTACAGGGCTGCGGGGAAGCCAGAGTCTATCCCAGCAAGCAACAGGCTCCAATGATACAAACTGGACAGGATGCCAGTCCATCACGGAGCAAACACATATATGCACACTAGGGCCAGTTTTCCCAGAGGTTATTTAACCTATGGTATGTCTTTGGACCGTGGGAGGAAACCCATGTGAACATGGGGAGAACATACAGACTCCACACAGACAGCACCCCAGGAATTGCACCCAAGGACCAGCGCTGCAAGGCAGCAATGCTAGTTTGAACATACTAAGCATGCTTTCATAAACGTCCTAATCTTTATACAAGAGTGGTCTATAAAAACTATTGAGTGAGACACTGCAGGATAGGGTTGGAGACCCCTGGCCTTATTGGGAAAATATAATGTATACTTTACAAATGGAGATGTGTAGAGTACTGTTACCTTGCTGCTTGAGTATAATCACCATGGGCAGTATGTAGCTGCAGCAGGAATGGTACTTCAATATTGTGTGTGAAACATTTTCAAACCAACCCTGTGAAACAAAATGTGACAAACCCCTCTGTGGTGCTCCACAGGTAAACAAAAAAACATTGTCTTCATTGCCCAACTAAAATTCAGTTGCTGACTGACTCAATCAAGTTCCAGAAGTAAAACTGGACTGGAACTCATGGATGTCCACATTGTGAAAGTCCTTATGTCTCACTAGTGTGGTTATGAAACAGGGTACTAAGCAAAAAGTGTGATTTTGTTAGCATGCGACTATTGAGCTAATTTCTATTCCAAAGTTCAGGTATAATCAAGATTTCTTTCTAAGCAGGGAATTATGTTAGGAAATGAATAACTTAAGACTGATTTGACTATTACAAACTTTTTCCTTCTTCAGATGCAGGTACTTTTCTATTAACATATAGGAGATGCCACTGATTCTAATACTAGTGTGACTTGCTGTGACTGTGTGATTTGCTTGCAACATCTCTCCTAAGGGTTTCCCCAGTTAGTTTAATAACTTTTAGGGAATAGTTTCTGGAATGCACCACTTAACAATCACCTCACCCTTCAGCTTTGAAAACACTGCAGGATTTAATCACTGAACAGTCAGCTGCCGAGAAGGCCTAAAGCTAACAACAGGAGGCGTTGAGTTTTGCGAGCATGGAACAAGCAACCCAGACATGTTGTTGAAGCGGATACCCTGGCTTCTTTCAAGAAGTGGTTGGATGAGATGCTTGGATCAATGAGCTGTTACGTACCAAGCAAGCTAGAATAACAAAACAGAAATTTTCTTGTTAACCAGCAAATACTCCTTAAGAGACACACCCAGGTCTGTTGAGATACACCTATGGTGCCAGAATATCATGTTGGATGGAATCTGAATTTACTTTATTGTCCACATACAGTGGAAATTGGCCTTTGGCCTCACTGAGACAACAATAAAAATGGTGTATATACACAGTACATAAAACATACATTGGGTTTTAGAGATGTACTGTATACAATTAAACTAATATAATTAGCAATACCATTCAATACAATACAGTTCAAAACATAAGATTCAAGTGTAAGCTCCATGCACATACAATATATATATACGCTGTCAATGCAATGCACTGAAGGGGCTCATTCATCAGAGTTTAAAAGAGTAATGGCACTCATTAAAATTGTTTTCTGCAACCTCCTGCAATGTCATCCTGATGGCAATTTTTCAATTTGGAAGTGTATTGGATGTGAGGCATCATCTATTATTAACATGGCTTTCCTGTAAACACTCCTAGTATAGATGTGATTCAGCTGGTTGTGTTTTTGACCAATAATTCTGCTACCTATACCTATGCTACCTCCACAAACACAGTCTCTTTGCATGTATTCATCAAATAAATACGTATTTGATCTGAAAAATAGTGAAGGAGAACGGCTCAATGGTATAGAAAACTTATCTGTAAAGCCTGCTCTAAAAAGAGTATTGTCCCCTCTTGCTATGTGCTGTGTGTTACTACATATCCTCCATCTGTTTCCTTTATGGTATATGGTGAGTATTTTTAGGACCCCTTTGGAATTGTTTCTTCGTTGTACAGTTGGCTTAATATGGTGGTGCCATATTTGAGCTTTAGTCTCTGATCTCTTTGTCCTTTCACAATCTCACTTCCTGGCAGAAAAGTTAAATATTGCTTGAAAAGCAAAACCCCACATAGCATCAAGCGGGGAGCTACGTCCATGTGTACGCTGCAAAGGTACAAGAAGAACTTAATTCCACGCTGAAAAATGGAGAGAACAAAAACATTTTGACTGCGGAGTCTTCTTCAGGTGTGTGGATGAATGAGGAAGAGCAGGAGGAGGAGGAGGCAATGTTGAGAAGGAGAATGAGGGAGAGTGTCCAGTGAAATCGAAATCTGCTAGAGGAGGGGAATCCTGAAATCTGTAAATCATGGTTATTTCCAAAAATTGAAAGTTCGCACATTTCTGCAGCTCTACATGATAGACCACATTTAAGGAAAAATACATCTTCTGATGGTTTTCTTAGTAAGATTCCTCTATCCCTGTGAAAGGATACAGTCAGAAAGGTGAGTATTGCCACGGACAGAGTACTGTCCTGATATTTTCCCTGAAAGGATCAGCCAGTCTTTTTGTTTCACTGATGTAAATGGCAAAAAAAGTGATGCAATAAATACAATTGTTGAACTAATCTGATGACCTCTCTGTAACCCTGGAATGTCTAGGTTACGTGTGTGCACTTGGTATAGTCTATACTTGTTTAAATATCCTCATACTTCAGGTACCGTACTGTATGTCAACAGTGCTATAATGGCCAAATCCCCAGACAGGATATAATAAAATAAACATAATAAAACGTGTTCTGGATCAAATTGCTTAATTGAGTAAAACTCTGTTTCCTGCTCTGTCCCTAGGTCTTTTGTTGGAATGATCTCAGTGGAACTTCCTTTTTAAAGATGGGTTAAAGAAAATATTGTAGCTTCCCAGATGCAGGGTGGGGTGTAACAGCTCCTCTGGACCTTGGAAAAGCTTTGCAAAGTTGGAAACTGCCATATTTTGCAGGTCACTGCTGGACGTAGATATGAAAGACAGGCATGACCCCCTGTGAATACAACATGTTCTGAGGTGTCTCCTGCACTCCCACCATGCTGGGGTCCATGCTACAGGAAGCATGGCACACAGAAAAGCCTCACCCTTCTGCCAAAGCTTCAGGATAGCCACATCCTTGGCAGTCATTTAGATTTGTATTATTTTCCATGGTTTTTGTGATGCTAATGCTCAGAACTGGTGGTTTGTGTTCTCTTTCTTCTGTGGGTGAGTTTTGTCTCTCTTTCTCTCATACATTGAATGAAGTTACTTTGTTTTATAGTGAATACATTATTGTTACAAATATACTGTTAAAACGTCATTAAATGAGTACAAAATATCAGCCATTTAACTAATTTATGTGTTTATTTCAAGAATCTACGTGTTTGGAAAAGCAATTGATGATAGGTAGTAGAGAAACTTTACTTTTAATGCTTCCTTTAATTAATGTGAGTCTATAAAAATAAAGACAGCCAACAGCCATGTCTCCCTGCAACTCACAACTATCAGCCCACTGAAGCTAAGCAGGTATGAGCCTGGTCAGTACCTGGATGAGAGACCTCCTAGGAAAAATTAAGGTTGCTGCTGGAAGACATGTTAGTGGGGCCAGCGGGGGGTGCTCACCCTGTGGTTTATTTGAGTCCTAATGCCCCAGTATAGTGACAGAGACACTACACTGTAAAAAGGCATTTCCTTTGGATGAGATGTAAAACTGAGGTCCTGACTCTCTGTGGTCATTAAAAATTTTTGAACATTTTTCAAAAAGAGTAGGGGGTTTAACCCCGGTGTCCTGGCCACATTTTCCATTGGCCTTTACCAATCATGGCCTAATAATCCCCATCTATGAATTGGGTTCATTACTCTGTTCTCCTCCCCACTAATGGCTGATGTGTGGTGAGCGTTCTGGCGTACTATGGCTGCCGTCGCATCATCCACGTGGATGCTGCACATTGGTGGTGGTGGAGGGGAGTCCCCATTACCTGTAAAGCGCTTTGAGTGGAGTGTCCAGAAAAGCACTATATAAGTATAAGCAATTATTAATTATTATTATTATTATTTAAGTTGGTGGTTTTCATTCTAACAGATGTCTGTTCCGATCATTCTGCTCTTAAATTTACCTGTTTGGATATTTAAAACCATTTGAATGTTAGCAGAATGAGGTTTGAGGCACATAGATTGTGCCAGTCCCTGGGTTTCAACCCTCCTCTCACTTTATAGTCAGGTTTATTATTTAAAAGACTTGATCGAGTGAACAATGGGCCCATGCAGCACTAAGAATGCAGGATGTGAGAGTGCTCGACAGTATCACCCCCACCTTTGTCTGCACATCATTAATACACAACAATAGTTGTTTAGAAAGTTCTAGAGGAACAATCATTTTAAATCAAGTTGAAAGCTCACTCTGTTTCTTGGAAAACATGCACATAAAAGATATAGTGAGATAAATCCTGGGCACCGAAAACATGTTAAAAATCAATCCATTGGGTCAATTATGGGTGACACAGTGGCACAGTGGTTAAGCATTTCTGCCTCACAGTGCAGGGACTCTGGGTTCTGGACTAAGAGTTATCTATCTGGGTGGAGTTTGTATGTGCTGCTCATGTTTGTCAGGGTTTCCTCTGGCTGTTCTGGTTTCCTCTCACAGTCCAAAAACATACAGGTAGGTTAATTAGCTTCCAGGAAAACTGGAACTGGGGTGAGTGTGTGTGTTTGCTGTTTGCCCTGCAACAGACTGGCGTCCCACCCAGGGTGTATCCTGCCTTGCACCCATTACTTATTGAGATAGCCTCCAGCTCCCCTGCTACCCTGAATTGGAAGAAGAGGTTAGACAATGGACGGATGACTCGGCAAGTGTTATTGACTAAAAGTTCAGATGGAATTCAAGCTAAAAGACACAAGGGTACTTCAAGGACCAGATCTGGGAAACAGCGCTTTGGAGAAGACACCTCGAACTCGGTTCATGGAGGGCATAATGGCTTCTGTTTTTGTTCCAAACTGAACAGTCAATTACACAACTTAATCTATTTCTTTGACATAAGTAAAATCATTCTTTCATAGCTGATTATTACTCAAAACTACATTACAGTTCACTACATTAAAGTACAGCTGACTATGAAACATGCTCAATGAAAAGCTCAATTATAGAGTTAATTATAAGGCCAATAATTAGAAACTGAGGGCTTGGAAAGAAGAAAAAATAGAAGATATTTGTCCCTCCAGGAGGCAAGTTGGAAATTCCTGCTTTAGAGACTGACTTCAGTTGTGTTGTCCTCATCACTTCAGTCTTTGTAGGTGGTGCATTCCTGCTGAATCCTTTATTAATGAATTAAAACCCCTAAATGAACTAATTTGATAAGTGAATATCCTGTCTTCCATAAAATGTTGCAGATTACTTATAAAACTTCAGACTTGAACCACTTTAAGAAAGAAAAACACTAAAAACAAGTAATCAGTTCAGTAACTGGGATGACCAAATAAAGACAGCAATTGACAGCTCAGCTAGACTGACAGCTAGCAGGACCAGGACGGACTGGGAAGCCTACAACAACAGCTGGTTTCAAAGTTAGCTCTCCAGAAACATTTGTTCTTCCTTAGAAAACAATGCTTTCATAACAATAAAACACCTCAAAATACCATTCCTTCAATTAAGAAAGGGACAACGTCGTGATTGTGCTGCTTTCAAGCCCTGCATTAATCATCAGATTAGAAAGGATTTCCTTAAGACTGACCAACGCTGTTGAAATGTTGGGAACTGGCGGCTCGGGATACCCAGGCACGCCACAGCGCTGCCCCGCCCCCGGTGACGTCACTCTCCCCAGCGACCGGAAGTCCGACGCGACGCAGTACGTGCCCCTGTAGCTTTGAGTGAGGAACCCCGAGCGCGGAGCTGCCAACGCCCGGCGCAGAGACACCAGCAGCGAGCGGCACGGTAAGGCTGCCCGTCCGAAATTTATTTCACATTTCTCCCTAAAAAAGCGGCAGATCACCTTTCGGCTCCCGTGCAGGGTCGCGTCTCTTCTCTCGCCGAACGTCGGTTTTCGCTTTTGTTTTCTCCTAGTGTGCGTGAAAGCCAGGAGCTTTTGCGGACGAGCGAATTTCTCGTATTCAGCAATAAAAAAAAATAACAATAAAATGTTCTGCGGCGGACAGTTGGGGAAGTGTCCGACCGTCGCACCCAGGAGGACAAATGCTTGCATTAAGATCGGGAGCGATTGGGACTGTTTTTCTGTTTTAAATGTAAAATTGAGACCTCTGTCTTTTATGCGCCGGACGGCAGCGGAATGGCGATGAGCCCGCAGGAGGGGGAGGAAGGAAACGGGAGACACATCGACCAGCGGTTTATAAGGCCGGCTGTCGACCGGTTGGGATTCCCCGATACGGATGCCCCCGTTAAGCGATTTAATGCGGTTATTGTACGGCAGCGAAACCCGTGATTGCCCCCCGGAAGCGGGGGTCCTGGGCGATTTAAATGCCCTCCCGGAAGCCGGGCGCTGAGGGGCTGCTGGCCGGGCGAGGGATTAGGGCATCTGTGTGGGTTTGAGAGGCGTGACCTGCTTAGGATAAGAAAAAAAAACCGTTAGGCACATGTCCCTCTCCCTCTGGAGTGGTAACGGGCTGCGGCTGGAGATTGCCAGAGCGTTACTGCCCATGTCCGGGGAGGGGTGCTCCTGTCCGTACCGCCGGGACACGGTGAAATGCAGCTGGTGAAATGCCACCGATTTCAGCTCGCCGTGCCGTCCCGTCCCCTTTCGCTCGCCCGGGTGTGTTTCCAGCAGGATCCCTGTCCTTGTTCGTGGCAGCTTCTCACGCCCCTGAAAGCGCTTTTCAGTTCCTGCCACAGTGATGTTGTGGGGAAAATGTTTTGAGAGCTCCCCCAGTAGGGGGGTATGGTTGCCTGGCTGGATATGCATATCGATTTATTATTTGACAGCATATCAATAGTCTGTAGCTCTGAGATTTGTCGGAGGTGGGCAGTAGTCTTTTAATGTAGTTTCAAAACCGGGACTTGGCAGAAGAATTAGCTCGCAAAGACACCTCTTCTCACATAGGGAAGAAAGTGCTTCTGAACGTAGGTCAGTTTTGCTGCTGGGGTGTGAGGTACTGGTAACCCACTTTCGCAGAGGTCCCAGAGGGGTTTTGTCTAGGAGTTGTATTTTTAGATGTGTGTCCTGGAGCAGTGTAGTTTACTGAACACCGCGGTAAGGGCGCTGAGTTAAGAGGACATGATCTCCTTTGTTAGTCTAGAAAACAACCAGTTGTTTAAAAATAAATACTGAAAACAAATTATGGCAACAACGTATGGGGGGGGGGGGCGGTTGTTCAAGAAAAACCTACATGTGAAACTGGCTTGCTTATTTTCAGGATATTTCTGAAACCATGCATTTGTTTCAAGCAAAATAAATCTGAGCCCAGTTGGTCATTTGTGGGAGGAGAATCTTGGCTATGACTGTATGTACTAGCTGGAGGATTTAATACAGCAACATTTCGATGGTAGAGGTTGATACGCTGGTTGCCAGGGCTGTTTTCAAAGGTTGCTGATGCTGGAAAATAACTTCATCCCTTTTCCTCTTGTGCCTTTTAAGAGCATTTGCCTGTGTAAATGTTGCTGAAGAATCCCCCAGTATTTTTTAATCCCTTCTCGTTTTTATTCACTTGTGAAATGATTTAGAAAGGATTTTACATTATCGTGTCAGTATAGTGCTTGGAAAAGCCTTTCATGATGAGGAAGGGGCAATTGATTATTGAGAGATGTTGAAATTGTGCTCTGTAACTCCAAAATCTATGTTTTACAAAGAGAATCATTGAATGGAATTGACAGGGCTGTAACTTTCTTTTGAAATATGAAAAGTAGCTTGACAATATAAGTTAATCGCTTGTTTTTCTGGATCTGCATGGACTGTTTTTGTCATGCGTGTTTTATTATTTTATGTGAACTTTTCAAATGAGTAAGCATTGTGAAACAGGAAATCGGTTATTTAGGAGTGGTACTTTTTTCTCCCCTGAGATTTTTTTCCCCCACTTTTCTTTCATCTTCAAATGACATCCAATTTGCTACTGTTATTGACTAAAAGCCATGATCAGATATATTGATTCAGTCTGTCTAAATGATGGATTATCAGGATCTATAGGCAGTAAAGGATAGATTTTTAGGGTCAGTTATTTTACCTTCTGCTTTCTCCGTGTTAAAACTAGTCCTGGCCTTAGTGCTTTTTCAGCTGCATATTTGTGTCTTTGTCTTCTGATGAAAAATGCAAGAACAGAAGAGGTCTGAGATGAGATGAGAGGAGGCCATTCAGCCCAGCCCATCGCATGCTTGGTTGCTAGTAGCTTATTGATCCAGGGATCTCTTCTGTTTCTCTTGAAGGATCCAGTGCTCCAGAGCTGTAGTTGTGTTTTTCATCCCCAAAGGTCCCAGAGACCTTGATGTAAAGTGAAGCACCAGGCCTAGGTGACAGTGCAGCCGTTCTGCCCCAGCAGAGCTACTGCACAGCACATCAGGGGAGGAGTGAGGAGTCAGTTCACCACTGGAATGTAAGGGGGGACGTTAGGCGGACCAGATGGTTCCAGGCCAGGACCCTCACAGTGTCTCTTGTCGCCACACTGGGATATTTGGTTAGGAAAATGTGGTCTTGAAGGAAGGCGCGGAGCACACGGTGGCTCGCTGGCTCCGACTTCGTGATATTGATCAGTCGTCATGTCCCGCTGTGTAAACGTGGACGTCGCACAAAATGCAAGAAGGATGCTAACGGAGACCAGGCTCTTCTTTTTCTGCGCAGACGACGGCACATCGTCACCTCTTCTTGCCAGCTGATGGCTTTGACCCAGAAGCAGCCTGACCTCCCCCATTGCTGACCAATTCAAAACCGTCTCTTTCTTCTTGCATCAGTGATCGTATGCATTTACCTCCTATCAACTGAAAGTCAGACATGTTCTCTGTAGCTGTCCAGAAGACTAATTGCTCCTGAATTTATTACCGTTTTCCCTTACAATGCATTAGGCATTCTGCTCTCCTATAAAATTTAGGAAATGGGATATTTAACTTCAACCTGTTCTGTTTTGGCTATAAATACGTTTGTATCTATACAAGTAATAAATCTGTAGCATTTTTTGTTAATACTGTTGAGTTCAGAGATTTTTGTAGTTGTAAGTTAAGCACGGTTGTCTTTCTTAAGTTGATGAGTGATAACAGACCGTAAAAAAGTTATTGTGATCTTGTTGATCATTTTTGTAGCTTGTTTCCCTTTGTGCGTCATTTTGGTACACACTGTAGCCCTGAAACAGTCGTGCAGCTTTGATAAAGCTCCTTGCCAAATGAACAGTAAATCTGTGTGTAAATTATCCAATGCAATGCAGATCGATTCCAGCCATATTTATGTTAGTTTTGTAGCAAGACACCTTGGTTACTTCTGACTGAAATTTAGTCCTGGTTGCCAGATCAGTGTTGTATCTCAACTGCTGTCTTTATTAGTGCAACAAGACAGGGTGCTGTAGAATGTTATTACGCATTGTTGTTACTGTTAATATCGAACAATAACCAATCTTGTTATATTGGAGCTTCCCCTCCGGGGTGCGTGCTTTGCTCGCCTTGCTGGTCGTGCCGTGCGAACACTTTGCCCAGTGGGCCGCTCGTATCCTGGCGGTCCTGGAGCGGTGACGGGGATTGAGGCTGACTGCTTGCCACATGAGTGGAGGGCGACAATGTGCCCACGAAGCGTGGCTGCCGGTGCAGGGGGAGGGCGCGTCGCAGTTAGCGGAGCACGCCCGAGGGCCGCGTTGGAAACCGCATTCGCTGCACCTGGGTCTTTGGCAGGGCTAGCTGGGAGGGCGCCCAGCAGACAAGCCCGTTCTGTCTATTTGCATGCTGTCTTCCCCTCCTCCCCCCCTGGTTCACTATTTTGTTTCTGCTTGGAACTTGATGTAGTTGGCGTTGTTCTGGACTGTGCGGTGTGCAAAGCTGATCTCTTTTTAGTGGTCCTTTAGCGATTTTGATTGTTGCTTAAGAGGCTTCTTTACCCGAAGGGCTGTGGGTGTCTGGAGCAGCTAACCAGTCATGTTATGAAAGCCGATACCCAGGCTTCTTTCACACAACAGCTGGGTGAGTTCTTCGGTTGAAGGGCCTCTTGTTTTGTAACCTTTATTTTCTTACTTCTGCACTTTATCACTGTGACCAAAGGGTGGAGCGCATCCTTGAATCAGGGTTTGTCAGCTGGAGTTTAAGCAGCTTTCCCATGTTTCAGAATGGGTGTGCCTTTGAGCACAGTCTGGTCTAATTATCAGAGCCTAGACTCTGTTCCCTCTTCCTCCGGTCCCTGCTTGAAGCCTTATGCGGTGAAGCTCGCTCTGCACCCTTCCCCAAGTCCTAACACTTTTCCAAAGGGTTAAGTGTCTGTAATCTGGGGGTTGCTGATGTTCTGTGTTTCATAATAAAATACTCACGTCCTAATTCTGTTTGAAATAGGGGATGTGTGAATGCTTTTTGCTCTGAGGAGCTATCTGGTCACAGTGTTGCAAAACCAGCAACACTGATCTTCTCAAATATGGAATGACCAAATGTTGCGCAGTTTCAGTCGAAGTCTGATCTGTGTTTTATCTCTCCCCTGTCAGATGTTTGGGTGACAGTCATCAGAATATGCACGCCTGCTTTTAATATTAAGAATAATTGCTTACATTAATATAGTGCTTTTCTTGAAACTCCACTCAAAGTGCTTTACAGGTAATGGGGATCCCATCCACCACCACCACCAATGTGCAGCCCCACCTGGATGATGTGACAGCAGCCATAGTGCACCAGAACGCTCACCACACACCGGCTCTCAGTGGGGAGGAGAGCAGAGTGATGAAGCCAATTTACAGATTTTACCTTTTCGGATGTAAGATTTTTACAGGTCTCCTAGCTTTGATCTGCAAAGCCTTTTACAGCCACACTGA